AAAAAAAAAAAAAAACCCAACAGGGTAATACCTGAGTGTAAACTCCCAACAAGAGAATAAAGGCTACACTCGGGCCAAACTGGGACCAACGGCCCAAACCAAAAACATATAGACTACAACACAAACACAACGATCACACAACAAAGAAAAAAATAAACAAAAACAACAATAAACGAAAACGGAACCCTTCCATGCGAACCGAACTAAGCTCCACCAGCAGTGAACGACCGACACAAAGAAGACCTCGAGCCCGAGAACCGCTACCGAAACTGCACGAACGCCTATACAGCAGGTGAACTCAACCCCCAAGATAATCCCGAATCAACCCATCTCTAACCGAGAGATCCCCAACCAGCCCCCACACCAGCCCCATCGAAAAAGCAAATAGAAGCCTTAGGATATGAAGTACCTTTGGTTGCAAAATTAGAAGATAAATTCTTTCTGCTCTTCTCCTCCTGGGATAGACACAAACGACGGACTCAACGGCGGAGTCTTCAAAGAGAAAAAACAGATGTACAAAAATAGACTAATGAAACCTTTATAAAGACTATATACTTATTAATGCGCCATTTTTTTTTTTTTTACTTTTCTTTTGCTATTTTCTTTTTCTGTTTTACGTTTTTTATTTTCCTTCTTATTTTTGTTCTATCAATTTTTCTCTTTTTTAATGTTTTAATACAAATTGACTTAAAGAAGGACTTATTTAGATATTAGATTAACCGATAATTAAACAATGTTATATTAATTATTCGATACAAATTTTATTGTATTTTTTTTTAAATACAACTTCATTTAAACAAGAATTATATCATTCCTTGTTCAAAAATGTTATACATTAACTTTTCTTTCCACAAATTTTATTACAGACTATATTTTTTTATGCAATTTTTTTTTAACAATACAAATTCACTTAAATAAAGAATTATATTAAATATTAACTGAAAATTAAATATTTTTAAATTCATCATTTGATACTAATGTTAGTGAAGTGAAAATTTTTTACATCTGTTGGCCCACCAAATAACAAACCCCAAAAAAAACAAAAAAAAAAAAAATGAATAAAATACAATAGCTAAATATTATGGAACACTCCAACCAAAACCTATTCGTAATTTACACAAAATAAATAACTCTTTCCAATATGAAAAAAAAAAAAATATTATAAAGTGTATGAGCCGGTTGTGCTTAAGTTTCTAGTTTTTAAAAACTATTAATTAATTAATTAAATGTCTTATTCGGGGAGTAGTATCAATTAAAGTGATTGTATCAATTATAGTATTTTTTGGCCAATTGGGAGAAAAATGCACCACTTTTAGTCGATTGATAATTTAATCACCACCTTTAGACCTTAGCAATTTAATACATCATCATAGGTTTCTTGGAAACCCGATACACAAATTCAATATCCATCGACGAAAAGTTGATGTGACAAATTTTTTTAACGACTACAACACACATAAGTGTAATTCAACGAACAGATCTGAATCATCATTTAGACCTTGTAAATTTAATTCATCGCCGAAGGTTTCTTGGCAAACAGATCCACGGATTTAACCTCCGCCGACGGAAATCTGCCACATCAGCTTTCTCTCGTCCAAGAACCGTGCATCCGATATGAGACCCTCATCAACTACGCAGCTACATTTGCTCGTCTATGAGGTGCTCGACAGATTTACCACTACTTGTCGTCGCCTTTCGATGAGCTAAGCAAACCGTTGTTGCTCGAAATGGCAACGTCGTTCGTCTCTTCACACACCGCAAGGCCACAACTCAAAAATTTGTCCTGGTAATTCTTTTAACAGCCAAGAGATCATCTATTTCTCCTAATTTTCATAAATATAATTAACTAATATCAATGAATCATTATGACACATCACATCAATTTTGAATTCATAAAATTCTATGGAGTCACCGGTAGGGCTGTAAACGAGCTGAGACGAGCTCGAGCTTTAGGTGTTTGAGCTCGAGCTCGAGCTCTTAACGAGCCGAGCCGAGCTCTGCTCGTTAAGTAAACGAGCCAAAAATCAAGCTCGAGCTCGGCTCGTTAAGGCCTCGAGCTCGAGCCTTAACGAGCCGATCTCGAGCTTTAACAAGCCGACTATAAAAAATTACATAAATTTCATTTTTTGAGCCTTATCGAGCTGAGCCGAGCTCGGCTCGTTAACCAAACGAGCTTTAAATGAGCTCGAGCTCGGCACGTTAAGGCTTCGAACTCAAGCCGAACCGAGCCTTAACGAGCCGAGCCGAGCCAGGCTCGTTTAATTTAACAACACTAGTCACCAGATGACACCTTTATCATCCATAACTTTATGTGCTAACATATGTCTAATGTGCATTTATTGTAGGACACGTGTAAATACATCATTTGTGAATAACTATGGTGACTCCATGAGCCGAGTCATCGGATTGCTCCTAGCAAAAATAGTTCACTATTCATTCACGTACATAATTTTAACTACTATCACATCTTATAATCTCTAGCATCTATAATGCATTGGGTTTAGTCTTGCCTATGTGACACGTAACTAAACCCAATTCTTGGATGACATAGATAAAAATATGTAAAATTAATAACATTCACTCCAATGCAAAAAGACTAAGTCTCTATTTGGGTAGACCGAGTCTCTTTTTATGTCTGTCACATCAGCAAGACCCCGTCTACTTTTGTTTGCATTGGAGAATACATTTTTTTAGACTAAGACTATTTCTTATGTGACATACAATTTTTTGTGATTGAACTCAAAGCATTGTGGTTGCTCTTAGAGCACCCACAATGCTTTGGGTCTAATTTTACATATGTGGCGTATAAATAGTCTTAAATCCTAAATGATATGGACAAACCCAAGTAAAAAAACTCAAAAGCTATTCAATGTAAAAATAAAATACTAGGTCTAACATACATGACAACCAATAAAAATACTTTAATATATTTCATTTATTAAAAGAAAAATTAAATGAGGAATAAATGATGAGTGCTTGGGTTTGTACTTGGGTCTAAAATAGACCCAAGTGTGGACTAGGTTTTTTTTTTTATTGCCACATAAGCTAGACTAGATCCACTTTTAATTGCATTGGGAAACACTTTTTTATAGACTAGGTCTATTTCCTACATGACATGTAATTTTTATCTAAGAGACCCAAAGCATTGTAGGTGAGCACCCACAATGCTTTAGGTCTCTTAGAAAAAAATCACATGTCATGTAGGAAATAGACTTAGTCTATAAAAAAATGTTTCACAATGCAATTAAAAGTGGACCTAGTCTAACTTATGTGGCACTAGAAAAAGAGACTAAGTCCACACTTGGGTCTATTTTGGACCCAAGTGCAAACTCACCTAGTCATTAATTGTTCACAATTTTCTTTTTCTTTATAATAGGCAAAACACATTTTTTTTTTGTTTGCATTTATTATTACTATATTTTTATTGGTTGTTTAGTATTCTAAACCTAGTATTTTTTTATTTTGCATTGGATAGATTTTAGATTTTTTAGCTTGGGTTTGTCCATGTCATTATGGACTTAAGTCTATTTATTTGCCACATATGCAAAAAGAAACCGAAGCATTGTGGATGCTCTAAAGAGCATCTGGAATGCTTTGGGTCTAATTTTGATTATGTGACAAGTAAATGGACTTAAATCTTGGGTGACATGGATAAAAATATATAAAAGTAACAAAATTAATGCAAAGAGACTAGGTCTACTTTCACTTGTATTGAAGCACATATTTTTCTTGACTAGGTCTATTTCACATCATACCCATTTTAATCATCACATTAAATATTATTTAACTTTAAATTTATTTAAAAATAACTCAGTTTAATATCATAAACAGTTTAATCTATACCCATTCAATTGGGTTCCTAACCGGTATTGACAAAAAAATTATTACACTATTGAAACCGAAATTTATACTAAAGGAACCGAAACGGCAACTAAAATGACATGAATGGTTCTTGAAAAAAAAAATAAAATAAAATAAAAGTGAACCAAATCCTGCCCTAAAACCCTGCGCAGCTCCTCAGCAGCTCTCAGCCTCTACAGTCCTCTCTATCCTCTCTTTCAATCTACATTCACCAGTTCCAGCCATGGAGGGAAAAACCCATGAGGAAGAGGATCAAATCGTGACTCCATGGGAAGTAACCGCCGAAAAGGGCGGCAAAATCGACTACGACAAGCTTATCGACAAGTTCGGCTGCCAGAGGATCGACCAGACGCTCGTTGATCGCGTCGCCCGCCTCACGCGCCGACCTCCTCACGTCTTCCTCCGCCGCGGCGTCTTCTTCGCCCATCGGGATTTGAGTGACGTCCTCGATGCTTACGAAAGAGGGGAGAAGTTTTATCTCTACACGGGCCGTGGCCCCTCATCGGAGGCACTGCATTTGGGCCATCTTGTGCCCTTCATGTTCACAAAGTAATTTTCAAATATTCCATCTTTATTCTTTTGGTTCTTTATGTTATTTTCAGAATAGTGAATGTTCTTTTTTACTGGCTTTAGGTATCTGCAGGATGCATTTAAGGTCCCGCTTGTGATACAACTAACAGATGATGAGAAATGTATGTGGAAGAATTTAACCGTGGAGGAAAGCCAGAGACTTGCCCGTGAAAATGCTAAAGATATAATTGCTTGTGGTTTTGATGTTGCAAGGACGTTTATATTTTCTGATTTTGATTATGTTGGAGGGTAGGTGATAATATACCCCATTTGCTTTTTCTTTTTTATTTGTGAAGTTTTATTTTTTTATGTACATTCCGGAAAAACGATAAGTTTTATTTGATCTGTTATCATTCAATAACAACTTAATTATCTTATATTGCCTGTGTCCATTAGGAAAGATTATAGGTTAATCTTAAGTATCTGTACAATTAGGTAGGACTCTAGTTTTTGGACTGTAAGGCTATTTGATAAATGTAAATATCGAGAGC